GCCTGCTGTGTGCTGAATGTATTTCATCCATACCTGCGGCGCATCGTGTGCGCGCGAGCTTCACACGTGCGGTGCATAGAGCACGAGCAAGCATGCACGCACACGTGATGCAGCGCACACCAAACAATAGGGTAAAAAAAAACATTCGGAGAGGGCTGGCTGAGGTAACCAATGGTGTCCCCCCTCCTGAAAAATCTAAGGGCAAAGAAAAAAAAAATAAAATGGGGCCATGTATTCCTCGTTGAATAGTCTTTTTCCCGAAGGACGCCAGCAGTGCATCTGCAAGGGTCCCAACATCTCGAGAGATGTTCAGCAAATTTCGTGAGACAGCAGAACAAGCCAGCAATACATATTCTGGATCTGAAGTCAGGTCTGTTTTCCAGCAGTTATGGGTTACAAGTTACAACTACTTACTACCGTAGCTCTCTCTTTCTTTCCTTTCGTTTTCCTACGAGCAGTGGCCCTAAGGGCCTTGATCCACTCGTCACCACTTGCACAAAAGACAAAACATATGGCGGCATATGATTCCATGTTCTAGCAGAAGATTCATTCTAGTTTTGCACATTTGGTGGCTCTCTCTTTCTTTTCTTTCATTTTCCTACGAGCAGTGGCCCTAAGGGCCTTGCTCCACTCGTCACCACTTGCACAAAAGACAAAACATATGGCGACGTATGAATCCATGTTCTAGCAGAAGATTCATTCTAGTTTTGCACATTTGGCGAGTAGTGGAGGGAAGCCCTGAAAAGCACGTTGGCCTGCTAAAACATAACTGCTGAAACACGGACCTTGATGTGAATCCATCAACACCATATATACTTGGCGTGCCCTGACCATAGTGTCTGTATGAGCATTGCCTCGCTCATGGCGAGGAGGCCCTTGCTAATTCTCTGCAGGGGCCTCTCGGATAACCCGCAAGGGTTTTCTTATTAATGTTAAGGAGCTATTTGTTCTCTCTCTCTCTCTCTCTCTCTCTCTCTCTCTCTCTCTCCCTCTTGCGTGTTCTCACACATCACAGCCGCTTTCTTTTCTTTTCTTTCTTTCTTTTTTTCTTCTCATGCATCAGTGACCAGCGAACCGCACCAGGCGCACCACACCGCATGGCGCACCGCACACTCGCACCGCAGGTATGATATCATCTGATACGTACTGGGCTGGGGGCTCTGCATGTTTGTTGCCTGCTGCTCTGATGTCTGCTGCATCCATGTTATCGACCCTTTAATTCTGAAGACGAACAAGGCTGACAAAAAATGACGAAGACTGATGAGAAGAAGAAGAAGAAGAAGAAAAAGAAGACTGATAAGATGGAGAAGAAGAAGAAGACTTACAGACTGACAACTTACAGGAAATATTTGAGTTCTTCAGCAGCATAATCAGCTGCATATGGCCAATATCGATCCACATTCGAAGAAGATGGAACACATATGGTGGCGGTAGGGTATGGCGGCGGCGGGAGGGTACACGGTGGTAGGGCATGGCGGCGGCGGCAGCGGTAGTGTATGGCAGAGGAGGAAGAAGAAGAAGATTACGAAAGGTGGAGGAGAAAGAAGAAAACGCGAGGGGGAGGAGGGGAAGAAGAAGAAGATTAAGAAAGGTGGAGGAGAAAGAAGAGAATGTGAGGGGGAGGAGGGGAAGAAGAAGAAGACGAGAGGAGGACGAGAGGAGGAGGAGGAGGAGAAAAAGAAGAAGAAGAAGAAGAAGAAGAAGAAGAAGAAGAAGAAGAAGAAGAAGAAGAAGAAGCTCGTCTGAGGCTTTGTCGTCACCTGCTACAGAAACCCTAGTAGCTGCGCCTTCGTCGTCGCGTCCTACACAAACCCTAAACGATTCCAAGAAGAAGAAGAAGAAGAAGAAGAAGAAGAAGAAGAAGAAGAACGGCGCTTTTGTCATCAGGGCCTTCGCCGTAGCAGCAGGACAGTCGGGGCCTTCGTCGTATCAGCAGCAGCAGGACAGTCGATGGCGATGGCGACGGGTGACGGCGCGGCAGGACGGCGCTGCAGCAGGTTGGCACCAACTCCAATCGTGCTGGGGGGCGAGTGGCAGACCACCCCAGCCGATTGGATGTTCAAACGGGGGGGAAGGTTGGCACCAAGATTCGCTGGCTCTGTGGCCGTCGATCATGCTGGATCGACGGCCACAGAGCTGGCGGGGATTTCAAAAGTAAAAGCAGGCGTACCGGGCCGGATGCGACGGTTTCTTGGGCCGGTCGGACCCGGTAGGCCTGCGGGAGGCCAAAACCAGCCAAAAAGGGGTCCGAAACCCCCCGACAGGTAAGTCCGCTGGGGGGGCCCAGCCCGGCCAGGCCGCCCGGGGCCTCCCCCGGGCCCCTGCCGCTGGGCGGCACGGATCCCCACTCAGAAAAGGTAGAGCGACTAATGGTTACTTGGCAATGACAGCCTGACGAAGGGTAATGGCACCTGTTTTTTTTTTTTTTTAAACAGAACCTTATCGCTCTGGCTCCATATCTATTTTAATATCTGGCACGGCGACTAATGTCCACTGGGAAGGTAGAGCATGCTTTGAAGCTGGTATGAGACAGAGGTGACATAGGTAGGGCCCCCGTGGATGGCAGCCGGCAAGTGACAGGGTTGTGAGGATGGGACAAGTGGGCCAAGGGTTTAGGGTTTTACCAGCTACTGTGGACAGAAGAGGAACTCTAGATCCACAAGCATACGAAGCAGCTAAAACAGCTGAGAGGAGCAATTGTGGGAGAAGACCAGCTTCAACTCACATAGGAGGGATCCTAAGGCCAGCAGGACCTAGGAGTAGGACGCCCTGAGCTAACTTAGGCAGGGGTGGGGGGAGGTGCATCCTTCCTATAGAAAGTAATCAATGCCGCCCGCTCGGATCTCCCAATCATAATGGGAAGAACTGTTGGAGTGTGTACACGATCTATTTGAATATTTCCCTTGGCTTGCCGGTGGAATAGGAACCGGTAATTGCACCTGTTAATTTCCATGTTTGCATTTCTTAAGGAACATGAAAACAACCACCTCATGAAACATGGGCCTACAACGACCCATTCACTCTGTGATAGAACTTACATCACTTGGCTATGATGTTGAATCATAGCAGAAAAGGACGCAAAAATGGGTTAGGAATGGCCTATTGAAGTGAAACCGGGAACTGACGAGTGATTTTGATGACATATTCAGCATATGCTCATGATGTAAGCAACTGGTGAAGGCCGCAAAAAGGAGAGCCACAGCTTGAACGTCCATCAGGCCCTTGCTACCTGCTTTCCCTGCAGACAATGCCTAGTCACTCTAGCTGTATTTACTGCAACTTTCAGGCCAGATGCAAATATAATGACTAGGTGTTGTTTTCCAGGGAAGAAGGTCACACCCTCTTACATGCCTCTCTCTCTCTCTCTCTCCCTCCCCACAGTCTGTAAGGACTTTTTGAGATATACCTGACCATAATCGCATCCAGAGTCCTAGTTTGAGTTTGCCCTACGTTGTACAAAGGCTGGAAACAGTGGAAAGCAAATAATTTATGTCACATAGCAGAACTTCTGTCAGGTTGCAGAACTGTCAGAACAGGAAACCAACAAACATACCGTCTCTTCAACAATGTTCCTGGTGAAGGAGAAATAAGCCATATCAGGGCGGCCCCACGGGCCATAAACTGTGAAAAACCTGGTTCAACACCGAGCGGGAGCCAGGCACAACAACAACAAATAACCTTAGTGTCACCTTCATCCCAAGCATCAAGCAACAGAGAGGCAGACGCAAAGACACGTTATCTACACAATGGCATTAAACCCTGTGTCATGCAGGAGCCAGAAACGAAGAGAAGAAAATAAACAAGACCAAACAACCCAAGATCTATAGGATTCCTCCCAAACACGAAACACCAGCAAGAAGGACGAAAACAGGCTGTGCCCAGACAACACCTGAATTCAGCAAAAGCAAAAAAAAAAAAAAAAAAAAAAAAAAAAAAAAAAAAAAAAAAAAAAAAAAAAAAAAAAAAAAAAAAAAAAAAAAAAGGAGTTAAAAGAAGTTAAAAAACAGAGCTAAAGCAAGAAGACCAGCGATGAGAAGGAAGAGACGACCTTATGCTCCAAACAACTAAGCAATAATGTGAAGCGCTATAATAACTTTAATAAGCGATTATAAGCCTATTGTCCTACAGTCAACGTGCTTTTCCAATATGTATGTAGACAGTCACTACAGTGAGGAAAATTTGCCAACAACAATGGGTAAAATGCCGCAACTTACCGCAATGCTGTGATAGAAAGGCCCCAAATATGATTGTATGTATGCGCAATCATCTCATCGGCTTTCTGCATCAGAAGGAGCAAACCACACAAACCAATACGAACGGGTGGGTCAACAGAGATCTATCGCTCAAAGATAAAGAGGGGCACGCGCTGGTCCAGGTCATGAATACCAATACCAACTCACCGAGTATTATAAACAGAGAGAGCAGCCTACCGTCTTCCAACCGGCACCAGCAATCACATTACTTCCATTTAGTTGTGGAAAACAGAGGAGGGTGTTTTCCAAGCTAAGTGTGATGACAATAGGGAGCCACGCTCTGACCGCTGCTTGGAAGAGAGAGACAGAGTTTCACCACCACCGGTTGTCAACGTTTCTGATCCAAAGCCCAGGCACAGCTTACCTCAGTAAACAGGACACACAAGCCATCCTGGAGATGCATCTTTTTATTCACTATTCCATCTGTGACAATCAGTCTCCAACAATTCGACCTGCCTGAGCTGTACAGCCCCAAAGTGGTACCTTCAGCAAAAATGGTGCTAAAGTAGTACCTTAAACCTTTAGCCCACTGACAGCCCAATGTGCACACATCACACATCCCTTGAAGCTGCGGGCAGAGGTGTTGATGCCACACGGTGGACCATGGACGGGTCAAATTTCATTGCGCTATGCTGCCGGCATCCTATTCATCATACAAATCCTGCATAGCTATCTCTACATATGTTGCAAAACATGGGAAAAACTGAGAAGGTAACACTCAATCAAACCACCAGTGCCACCTCCGAGCCTCTTATTGCCAAGGCGGATCTGTACTGCGAACCAAAAACAAAACGAACCACCACAATGCAGCTTTGCTTTCATGTTGGCCGAATGCGCCCGAATCCCGGAAGAAACCAGAATGTCGGATTTTCAATTCTGCAGTTTGCCTGCGCGAGGTACTGGTGGTTTAAAGCTAGATCTATGATGATGGTTGATTGGTTTTCCAAATGCAAGGAAAATGAGCGATAGCGAATCCCAGAAACCAAGCAGCGTCATACACATGTAACCAGATAGTCGTGACCTTGGACCAAAAGCAGAATTGCAACATGAGTTACACCAAATAAGAGCACAGCAAAAGCTCGCAAGTGACAATGTTGGGATAGTCTCATCATCATCAACAATGAACCAATGTCGACATCCTATCTGGCGCTCTGCGCCCAGACTACAAATGGCAGATCCTATCTAGCCTATCTACAATGCCGCTGGTGACGTCAACAGCTCCCCGAAATACGAGCAAATCTCGGCCCAATGCCGTTCGCCTCAAGCACCAGGTATGTCTCTCGTATCACTCACAACCTCGATCCCCCACTCACAGATGCCACATGCACCCAAGGATCACCATGCGCCCCATCCACCATAATGCAGCGCAGCTCGGCTATGGCTGCCTGCTCATCCAGCTCACCCGTGAGCGCGTGGGCTCTGGCCAGCGTCTAGCGCAGCAGCGCTTGCGCAGCATGCGGCCAGTGCCCGAATGCCGAATCCCAGGGCAAGCACTTTCCTAAATGGAAGTGTCCTGCCTGCTGCGTGCAGCCTGGTTGCGCTGGGCCCCTGCCCAGAAGCTTCCGGTAGGCCCCAAGTGGCTGAGCCCCAGTACAAACGAGTCAGGCCCAGGGCCTATGGCGGTTACCCGTTTTCAACTGCCCACAGCCTGTGTTCGGTCCATGTTGCGTATCTGGCCCAGGGTCTGCCTCAGTTACATACGAAAAAGCCAGTAAGGGCCTGGGCGCACTCAATCAACTGGCGCTGCGCAACTGACTGAATTTCCCCAGTTGCGTGGTACCCAAAAATAGGCCTCTTAGCCTTGGTCGGGCATGCCTTCACTTAGGGCGGCCGACACTGTTGCAAACAGGGCCCAGTAGGGCTTATCGAGGCCTTGTGCCTCACACAAAGGTCATGGAATCAGTACTCCATCGTGTGGAGGCTGAGCACACTTGGTTTGTAAGCGATTGACTGCAATTTGTTGGGTGAAGCACAGAGATTTAAGTTTGTCAGGGGTGGGGCGTTTCAGGGGATCATGGGGGAGAGAGAGGGCCAAATAATGCTTCTTAGCCTTGGTCGGGCCTGCCTTCACTTAGGGCGGCCGACACTGTTGCAAACAGGGCCCAGTAGGGCTTATCGAGGCCTTGTGCCTCGCACAAATATCATGGAATCAGTACTCCATCGTGTGGAGGCTGAGCACACTTGGTTTGTATGCGATCGACTGCAATTTGTTGGGTGAAGCACAGAGATTAAGTTTGTCAGGGGTGGGGCGTTCACGGGATCATGGGGGAGAGAAAAGGCCAAATAATGCTTCCCCACCCCCACCCCCGCCCTCCTCTTCCCCCTCCCCAACTCAAATGCTATCCCAGTCTCCAGAGCTCGGCCAAGTCCAATGCACGCCCACAAACTTCAGATACCCCACAACAAACTTTGGAGATAATTGGCCACACCAGTGCCCAAGCACACAGGCAAGAACGTTGGATTACTTGCAAAGGCGACGCCGACGGGAATAGATAGGTACAACCCCCCCCCTCTCCCCGCCCCCCCACCCGCCCGCCTCCCCGCCCCCCCCACTGTTCCGATGCAGCCCAGCTATTTGCCAGCCACCCCCCCAAAACTCAAATTCCTTATCTGGAGCATGGTGACATACGTCCCATCAGCTGAGAACAGCCCCATCCATGGCATTGTCGACAACTATACCTTGGTTGCTGCGTATAGACTGGCAGGTTGATCCGTTCGATCGTCTTCTGAAAATGGTACCTGACCATCCGCAAAACACCACCAAGTTTTTCGAAAGAAGAGAAACAAAGTCATTACGATGCACAGCATTTGCAAAAGAACATGTTGTGAACTTGTGATGGATTCACTGCTTCACAATTTGTTCTCTCCCCCCGGCCCCGCAAACACATACACCCGCAAAGTTACTCAAACCCCAAAACCAAATGAAAGGGGAAAAAGAAACAACAGTATGCCATCCATACATTGCGTAAAGAATTCAGATTCTTCAGTTCATGTTTTTGCAGGAAAGGGGCAGAGATTTGCCCTCCAGTTTTACGTCCAAAGAAAGTCGAACACTTTGATGAACTTTAATCCATGTTTTCGAGGCTCGCTCCATGTGCTTCAGAAATTAACTTCCGCGAGCTTGATTGCCAGCAGAGAGCGGAGATCGTGGCGCTCACATATTGCAATGAACCGTTCATTCCAGCCTTCGAAAGTACGACACATTCCGACACATTAGACTGAGAACGGTTGAGATTCCCAGAATAAGTAAACCATCTTCCTCGGCACGCTGCCTGGCATGCATGTCCTTCTTTGCAAAGCCTTGAAGAATTGAGGGTCTGTGTGTGTGTGTGTGTGTGTGTGTGTGTGTGTGTGTGTGTGTGTGGCAGGAGCCATCCGCTCGATCCTTTGGCACTCCCATGATAGTACCAGTTGGCAGGAGCCATCCGCTCGATCCTTGTGATTATTAGCGAAGGGGAAGAAGAGGATGTGCAAAATTTTACAAACACAGTCGAGAAAATAGCGGTTTGTGAACCCCCCCCCCTCCAAGAGTACCGAGTCTACTGACGCAACTCATAGCGAGCAAGCATTCCTAGGTGATAACCAAGACCAGCTGAATAAAGAGGGAACACCTGTTAGTTGACATGGCAAAAAATAGACAGACATGAGATGACTTTGTCATGCAATCAGAATGCAGAGGGCTGGGGACAAAGCCACATTGACTTACCTTGGTATTAAGGCCATAGACACTGCTCGAAGAGGCAAATATCATAGATGGCTGTGGGTTCAAGCTCTGCATCCAAGAGGACACACCGACCACGTAATCAGAGTCGTAAAACTGAAACGTTCATTACTTGACCCAATCTCTTCGCTCCTCCATAACCTATTAGAAACTTATCCGTGTTTCACTTTATTAGCTTCCACCACAAGGCAACCAGAGTTGGTACACATTTTTGTTCACTCAAACTGCACTAAACCTCTCACTGCCATGATAGCAAACAACGACTAAGAGGCAACCGTCTACTAAGTACGATCCGATTGGATTTGTAGCAGATGGGAGAAAAAACGGCCCGGATCTTATCATCACGGGCGATGTATTTGATGGAGTGGAAAGAAAGGTACAAGGGGCATCTTTGCTTTGGATGGATGACGGAGTTGTTAAAGGTATCAGTCTTGAAAACTGACATATTAAGAATATCAGGGGTTCGTGACAAGTTCTTACTCTCTGCTTAACTCGAGCAGGACTGCGCAATTCAAACCCATGCATGGAATTGAAGACATTGGCCAAGTTTACAAAGGCGAGACTTTTAACATTCGGAGGTGTTGGGCAGAGAGGGACCACCCAAACTCGGAGTCTCGATGGTCAGAAGGCGAAGATCAATTCTTCCCAAAGAGCAAGCTAGGCAAAGGAAACGAAGCAGGGGCGGAGCGGTAGTACATCTTTCCTGCAAAAGGAAGCAATCGATGCTACCTCTCTGGCCGCAAGTCCCAATTACTCTGTAATCGGTTTGCACATCCACAACACACAGAGACTAAGATTAAAACTTAAACACAAACATGCTCCCGCCATGTCCACAAAATTCACAATGACCCAGGATTAAACCCATCTCACCTTGCATACTTCCAGCAGCACAACAAACCCTGCAATATTGCTGTGCACATACGTCATCGGCTTCTTGACAGCATATCGAACACCGGCCTGCACCGACACATCACATTTCAACACACGGGAAGGCGTACGACTTGTTGTAATCACTCATCAGCAGTGCCAATGCTTCAACTCTTGCTTGGAAAGACTGCTAGACAGCCAAGGATTAATTGGCTCATCGAACCAAGTACAGACTTTTCAATGATATTCCAGCAACAACCAGTTGTACACACCCCATTCCATGAGCACTGAGGACTTCACCACCAAGAAACGACCCCTTGCCCCACCCCCACCCCGCCCACCTCTCTCTCTCTCTCTCTCTCTCTCTCTCTCTCTCTCTCTCTCTCTCTCTCTCTCTCTCTCTCTCTCTCCCTCCCTCCCTGTATACACACACACAAACATGCACACAGCTACAACCTTCCTCATATTTTGGAAGACAAGCACACTGATAGACCAAGATGTCGAAGAAAGTGCGCATGGATTCTGGAACTTATTCACATCGGACTGGCCGTTAACAAGAGACAGGCGGATTCATGAGGAGGATCCCTGAACTTCACCACCAAGCACACTCCGTATTCCAATGAGCATTCTCAGACTATGCCCTGCTTTTCCCTCTTCTCCTGCTCTGTGCAATCACCCTCACACTTAACAACTCCACCAGTCATTCTTTTTTCTTCACAAATATCTCTGTGCACATACTACAAGGAACAATAAGCCCCCAACATCATGCAATCCGCTTGCACCGTTTAGGCCACAAGACTACATACATTCTAAATTGAAGGTATTTCAAAAGTCGATGAAGCAGAAAGAGCAGCAATAGGAGGAACAAAATGTGTATACACTGTACAGGCATACCGGGACGTCAGTTCAGGACAATGAAGCTGCATGGGAGAGGACAACCACCATTCCATCCGGAGCTAAATTGAACAACCAAAAAATGCATTTTGCTGAGCCTAAAAGTGACCACGACCGGCCTTTGGCGAAATCACCCATGGTGCCGGTACCAGTCTCTGTACTATTGCAAAAAGTCTGTACCTCCCACAGATATTTTGGGGCGCAAAGTTACTGTTTATCCGTTGCTGTACCGGGCCTGGGTTGAACGCCCCAGGGGCGGTACGCGCATATGAAACCGGATGACCACTAACTTTGGATGGACTGGTGGTTTATAAACATGTGAACGAATTACTCGGACTTAAGTCGAGAGTACTCCTAGCAACAACAGAGAGCCACGAGAGAGACGGTGGATGCATCACCACGAAACGAATGAACAGTAACTTGGTATGTATCGGTGGTCCAAACGTTCACACGAATTATCCGGGCAAAATTGCTTGGACTACGGTCAAGTGCACGCTTAGAAACAACAGAGAGCTAAGAGAAAGACGGGTGGATGCATCACTGCGATGATGCCAACCTGGGTTCCATACACACAGCCCGCTCACAGTCGGCATTAACTCTTCCAGGGACATAACCATGATCAGAGAGAACTCTGAAAGCTGCCCGTAACTGCCACAATCACTTGTGAATTCACTTTGAAGTGAGTTACCAAGATACACAACAAAACTTCGAGACGCTTCTGGAAACAATCATTGTGCGTTGCAGTTGAGGACAGGTGTGAAAAGTAAACGTACCTGCGCAGCAAGGTGGAGCACATGTGTGAACTGCACCAATTTGAACATCCTCCGTAGTAACTCGGAGTTGTTAATGTCACCATCTACCGTGACACTGCGTTTCGGAAAAAGCAAGCAGAAAAATGACATTGGAAAGAAACGAAACGGTCTGCAATTTAAAATCTCGTCCAAGTAAGAACCTTAACAGACTCAGCACCGACGACCGACTCGAGCACCGTGCCATGAACTCGACTCTTGATGCTCTCAACCTTTTCAGCAGATTTCACGCATGGACTCACAGATCATGACAACTTGAGAGACAAGAAAATGACTAGGGAAAAGAATGACAAAGAAAGACAGAACGACAATAATTTCATCAATCAATTAGCAATGATTACAAACTCCCACTTATCCGACCAGATTAGTTGATGGTTTGTTTGTTTGTTTTTTTTGTTTTTTTGTTTTTTCGAGGGGAAGCTTTGTGTAATGAACCCAGTCTGACAGATACTCTTCAGTCGTCAAATACAAGTAGACGTATCTGCAAGAAAGTCTCCAAATCGAGGAGTGATAACTCAAACAGTATCTCATTACCAATAGACGAAGAGAATGGAGGGAGAACAGACAGGAGAGAAGATGGAAGAGATGAGGGAAGATCACACAAGAATGATCCCGTCAAACCCCTCTCCTTCTCCGGGCTTCTTCCTCCTCCACGTCAACAACCACTATATGATAATGAGTATAATAATCCTGATCACACAATAGTACCACGTGGCACTCCCATCTCGTGAAGACCATGAAGACACAGCAGATTACAGTGACGACGACAACCTCAGATGAGTATCCGATCCCAATCATCCACAGATCCCGATCTTCCTCCTCGCTCACAACCAGTCACCTCATGTAGACAGCGTGGACAATGCCACATCATCACGCAATGTAGACCAGAGGCAGCGCCACATCATTATTCAATGTGGACCAGAAGCAGTGCCACATCATCATGCAATGTAGACCAGGAGCGCCACATCATCATGCAATGTAGACCACAGGCAGCGCCACATCATCATGCAATGTAGACCAGAGGCAGCGCCACATCATCATACAATGTAGACCAGAGGCAGCGCCACATCATCATACAATGTAGACCAGAGGCAGCGCCACATCACCATACAATGTAGACCAGAGGCAGCGCCACATCAGCATGCAGTGTAGACCAGAGGCAGTGTCGCTGCAACGCCTGTGCACAGACAGCCTCTAGCCAGCGTCGCGCCAGCATATATGCCAGCGTCTAGTCAGAGTCGAGCCAGCGTCAAAGCAGCATAGCAAGACTGAATGCTGACCACCTCGAGGCCAGGCTTTAAGGAGCATTTGACGAGGCTGTCTGGCCTCGAGTCCTGTTCCCTCAGTCGTCCAGATTGCCTCACAGCCGAGGGCCCCGATTGTGTACAGTTGCAGACTTCCCCTTGGACCTGATGCTGTCTGGGTACCTGCATACAAACAAGTGTGTATGCTTGACCGGTGGCCTGGGCTGGGTACCTTTGGACTTTGACTGTTGGTGTCATGACAGTTGACAAAAGTCAACTGTCTCACGTCCAGGCCCTGAATTTTCGTGTGGGGTCTTTTTCCCCCGTTTTGGCCTGGGCTGAGGGCGGACAAGTAGGCCCTCAGACATTCTACGAGACATATGGCATGGGTTATTGCACTTGGCTGTCTACTAGAGGGGTGATACGAGCAGCCCCCAGTGGTAGTAGCCTCCAGCTGCTCCATCTATTGGGGTGCGTTCTGTTTGAGAAGGACAGTAAGTAGCTTCTGTTCAACCCCAGAATAATTGAAGAAATAATACAAGCTTTGCACACATCAGAAATTCAGAATGGTAAAAAAAAGAATTTTGTGAGGAGTCGAGGAAATCTTTTGTCTTGATTGCTATCGAAATCACAACAGATGTTCTCCGAACCGTGAGCGAGAATGCCCAATACACCAGCCATCCCCCCAGCTTAAACCACCAGTACACCACCCCAGCCTTGCGAAAATTGGTTCGTCAACTACTCCGCAAATTTTGCGGCTCGGGCCTACAGGACCACAATGGCTGGCCGTTCGGAAAAGCTTGGCTCACAGTGCAGCACGTCCAGGCCCGGGTGTGCTGGTGGTTTCAGAGTGCAAAATTCCCGTCGGCTATGCCTGAGCAGCACCGCGTAGGTGCTGCTGGATTCTATTCTTGTTGCCACCACTTTCGGTGGCCTGAGGAGAGGCTGGCCAGGGCCAGTCAACGCTGGACCACTGGTAGCTCGCTGGGGTGAGTTGTGCCACCCTGTAACCCGTGGCAATGCGGGACCGTTAGGCCAGGTGGAAGTGGGGCTGCTCAGGTCCTGCTGCTCTAGGTCGGGACACACCGAATAAAGGAATTTGCAGGTTGAATTCTCAGTCAGAATCATCATAGCTGACATTCAGGGCTCGATTACAATGTCTATCAGGGTCGATACCCTCAATTTCACGATACTTCAAAACTCTCAACATACCTATCATAACAGAAGATTGATAGCCAGTAATCATGACATATAATCTACAATACTTCCAAAATAATCTCGATTTACTGGGGCCGCTCACCTGTGGACATATCTCAAGACTGCCGCCCTTTACAAAAAAACAAAACCAAACAAAAAAAAATTAAACTACCGTCTTCCCCCGAAAATAACGGCCGGGCGTTATGTTCAACTTACCCGAAAAATATGATATTTTCGTTTTTACTCGCTTTTTTTCAAATAGAACACCACTTCGAATAGAACAGATATTCGATTGGAACGCCTGGGCGTTATATTTGAATGTTCCATGGGCAGAGTGCCTTGAAGAGGTAGTATACATGGGTTTCGAAGGGCGGGGAAGGGGGTATACATGGGTTTTGAAGAGGGTTGAATTGGGTTTCGACTTCCAGGGGGTATATTTCGGCTTGATTTTTTGTTTTTATTTTTTATTTCCGAGTTTATAAGGAATTCTGAAGTGGCCCTCAGCCAAAAGTTGGTCGCATTGCAATCCTGGACAACATTTTTTTTTTCAGAATTTCTTTATTAATTTTTTTCCAGAATTTGGGGCCTCACCGAAGTTACCACAAATTTACTGAATATAACGCCCGGGTGTTATAAACGAATATAATGCCCGGCGGGCGTTATATTCATACACAACACCTGGGCGTTATATTCATACACAACACCTGGGCGTTATATTCATACACAACACCTGGGCGTTATTTTCAGGCGAAGACGGTAGCATCCATAGTACACTCCAGCTCGACCAGACAGCACCCGTTGAACTGTTCTTTTCGTTTCTCTTTTTGTATACTTTTTTTAAGGCTGCAGCCATTTGTAGTATAGAATCTGTCTCATTTCATCAGGATTCCTTAACCATTGCAGTAAGAGTTACATCTGCGTACTGTACATCAACATCACCCCCCGAGGTTCTGTATCCCAATGCTCAACTTCGACAGCCCCTTAAAATTCTGAACCGTCACCAGGAAGAGTCTACTGGATGCCACCAACCTTTTTGATCCAGTACACTGAGTCTTTCTGCGGCACCATGTCGACTGCCGCATTTTCGTGGGTAGCTCGACAAGGTACCTGAAACGGTTTCACCCAGTTGACACAACATTCGCAGACACTGAGATTCGATCCCTAGACCTATGCCTAACCCCTGTACATTGACCCGGTGTGTTGAGTGAGATTTGATCCCTAGACCTATGCCTGTGCCCTGTACGTCTACCCGGTGACTGTGTGAGATTCGAACCCGCGACCTGTCCTGTGTCATAGGTTAGGCCGTAGGTCTGGAAGTTGGACTTGATCCCTAGGTCTGTAGGTTAGTAGTTGAGTCTGTTACCGGTTGTCCTAGGAAGGTCTGTGCTAGAAGTCTCTTCCTGAGTCTACTGAGGGCCTAGAGTCAGTCTGTAGGTCTGTAGGCCGTAGAAGGCTAAAGGTCCATGTAGGCCGGTCCAATCAGCAAGTATCAGGGAAGGGCTACACGTGGGGGAAGGTTCTGGTCACGCGGTATGCAGAAGGGTCCGGAACATGCGTTCTGGGGCCCAGCAGCCCACGCCGTTTGGAAACTTCCAGACCCGGGGCCCACGCGTTTAGAGGCCCAGGCCCACGCGGTAAGAGGCCAGGCCCACGTGTTTTGGCCCAGGCCCACGAGTTCCGAAGCAGGGCCCGGCCACCTCCGAAGAAGTATACATAAAGAGGCAGCGTCCAGCCATTCATTCATTCGCCTGTGAGCCAAGCGGAAGTGCTGCCTTGGTGACTTGTGCGTGGAGGTCTGCAGGTGCCCGGAGCTGAAGTAAGCAGTGAGGAAGACGACAGCCATAGCTGGCCAGGAGGAAGCCGACGGCGGCCATAGCCGCCCAGCTGTTGCCACAGACAGAGTGTACACAGTGTGTGTGTCTGTGTAGCGTGGACATTCAGGGTAGATCCTCGTACATGTGTGCACGAGGGAGAGTGAGGCTGGTGGTGCAGATAGTGTTCGACAGCCATAGCCGCAAGTAGTACAGTTGACTTGAACAGAAATTAAGTGCAAGTTCGTTGTTGATTCTGAGTTGAAAGAGTTCGGTTTCCCATCAGTTCGCGTGTATGCATGTTGAAAGTAAGTTTGTAGTGCAGTCTGATTTCATACCGATGGTTGAGCTTCCAATACCCACACATACAACAAGCCTACCGCCGTGCCTGGCTAGCGACTGACTGGTAAAGACAAGTGATTGCTGGGAAATACATCACCAATTCAAAGCCTGATGGATACAATAATGAATAATCTTAGCTTCTTTTAAAGAAACAAGTCAGACCTGCTGCGGCAAAGCCGCGGCCCAGAGGCAGGAAGGAGATGAAATCACGAAGGAGGGCGATGTGACGCGGGGCAAGTGGCACAGGCTTTCTAGGTTTTGCCAAAAAAAAAAAGCAAAGCCAAACCCAAACGCAGCATCCACCAAGTGGTCCCCGGTGGGGCCCAGAGGCGGGGACACACAAAGGAGGGCCATGTCAGGAGGGGCAGGGGGTATAGGCCTTTTTGGTTTTGCTAACAGAAAAAGAAGAAAAAGTAAAAACGCCAAGCCAAACTCAATTGCGCATCCATCAAGTGGTGCAGCTCAGCCCGTACACTCCAGAACCGTTGAAATACAAACCCGAGTGCGAACTTCACTGGAAGCAGACGAGTCAAAGGGCCTCGCTGCACTTCTCTCCACATCCACAAAGGACAAAAAAGACGGCAATGTATCTTCCCATGTTCTAGTGGTGGATTCAGTCTCATTTTGCGCATTTGGAGAGTACTGCAAAGAGGCCCAAAGACCACAGTTCTGGATTACCTTGCGCTGGTTCGACATTCATACCTCAAGGCCGTCAGACCCAAACAAATTGGCGGTGTATCTTTCCATCTTCTAGAGGAGCATTCCTTCTCACGTTGGACATTTGGTTAGTGTGGAGGCCAGGCCCTTGCTCCATGACTAGGGCCCAGCTGGATTACCTTGGGCCAGTCAGTTCGACGATCATATCTCAACGCCGTCAGACCCAAAAAAATTGGCGGTGTATCTTTCCACCTTCTAGAGGAGTACTACTCACTTTGGGCACTGCACTACTCTCCAAATGTGCAAAATGAGACTGAATCCACCGCTAGAGCATGGAAGGATACATTGCCATCTTTTTTGCCTTTTGTGCAAGTGGAGAGTAGTGCAGCGAGGCCCTAAGAATCCTCCAGTAGAACACGGAAAGATATACCGCCAATTTTTCGTTGTCTTTTGTGCATGTGCAGAGTCATAGAGCCAATATTTTTTTGTCTTTTGTGAATGTGCAGGGTCGTGGAGATGATCCAGAGGTACACCAAATTATTTTGTCTTTTGTGCATGTGGACAGTCGTGGAGTCAGGCCCAGGCCCCACCACTCACCAAATGTCCAACAGGGGAATGAACCCTCCCATACAACATGGAAATATACACCCATGACCAAAGGACAAAACAAAGGTCAACGGGAACAGCTGACAAAACAGCACGTGCACTCAAAAGGAGACCAAAAAAACAAAAAGAGAGCAAGGCATGTAACCCTCCCGCCGCTGTGTACTTGTATTCGAACATGCGGCAAGAGGTTAGCGCATGCCCCGGCCAATCCGATGAGAGTTTCTGCCGGGCCCGCCACCGTGTCCCTCCTGTTTTCCCAAGACTAGCTGGGCCTCG